TGCAAGCTCAGCTACCGAATCTGTAGCTGACTATGGCGGAGGGCACCAGAATGAAAGGCTTCGAGGAACAACTGAGGAAGCAGGATTCTCGGATCCAGGGCATCCTTGAAGCCAATGCAGCTGAACGACTAGCACTGGAAGAGAAATTGGCAACAAATCACTCTGATATGAAGGCACTCTTGGAAGCGAACTCAGCTGAGATGAAAAATTTCATGGTTTCCATGAATGCTCAATACACCGCTTTTGTGAGAAGCTTGCAAAGCGACCGAGGGATCTTAGGAATTTCACCAGACAATACGGAGAGGCAACCTGTCCAAAGGCCTCAGAGAAACTTGGAGTTGGGGCTATCCAATCAAGGAGAGAGGAATTTCCTACTTGTGAGAAGCTTGCAAAGCGACCGAGGGATCTTAGGAATTTCACCAGACAATACGGAGAGGCAACCTGTCCAAAGGCCTCAGAGAAACTTGGAGTTGGGGCTATCCAATCAAGGAGAGAGGAATTTCCTACCTGTAGGGACTCCTAAGGTGGAATTTCCCAAATTTGATGGCTCTAACCCCAGAGAATGGGTCAGGAGATGTGAGAAGTTTTTCCGTTTATGTCGCATTCCTGATTCGCAGCATATGGATTTAGTGGAATTGCATCTGGATGGGAAAGCTAGTATTTGGTATCAAGGTTTCAAGATGGACAAGGGGGAGTTACGATGGGATAGATTCAGCCAAGAGTTTTGTAGTCGATTTGGGAATTTAGGGGAGGATGACGTTATAGAGGAGTTTAACAAGCTTCATCAAACTTCCACAGTAATTCACTACCAAGAATGGTTTGAAGAGCTGCGAGCTGCCGTGATGCTCAAGGTCCCTGGTCTTACTGAATCATATTACATCTCCAGTTTCCTAAGTGGCCTAAAGGAGGAGATTAAGTCTGTGGTCAAGATCCACAAACCTGCGACCTTGCAATCAGCATTTGAGAAGGCGAGATGGCAGGAGCATTACTTACAGGTTATGGCTAAGCAATCTAGGATGGCTACAAAACTAACTCAGGTTACGGAGACAATACAGAAGAAGCCTGCACATCAGATGTTTGATAGCAGCAACAACAAAACTACTCCCCAAGGCTCTAGGAGGATTACCCCCACTGAGTTCCAGTACAGGAAGGATCACAGTTTATGTTTCAAATGTGGAGAGAAGTTCTCCCCTGGGCATGTTTGCGGGAATAAGGGAATTCATTTGCTGCTAGCAGATGAGGGCGAGGCTCAAGTAGAGGAAGTAGTAGATGAAGAGGATGAGGTCATTGAGTATCAAGGCAACAAGTATGGCAGGGATATTACACTATCCCTCCACTCAGTTTCTGGCCAATTGTCTTCCAGTACCATTAAGATGTTGGGAGATTATGGTGATCAAGAGGTGTCAATCCTGCTGGATGGAGGTAGCACCAACTGCTTCATAAAGCCAACTATTGCTCAACTCTACCCTGAAGCTGTTAAGAATCATAAACCTTTTAAAGTCAGAATTGCTGATGGGAAAGAATTAGTTTGTGAGCAATGGATTCCTGGTATGAAGTGGATGATGCAAGGCCATCATTTTATTCACAATGTGTATGTACTAGACTTGGAACCGTACGACCTGATTTTGGGGGTTGACTGGATGAAGTGTTATAGCCCCATGACTTTTGACTTTCAAAAGTTGTCATTATCATTTGAGAAGGAGGGTGAAATGGTGTTACTACAAGGGGATTCCCACTCTGCCAAGGTGTTGATGAAGCAAGGAGTATCAGCCCAGAAGTATTGCAGAAACAAAATCAGAACAGCCTTGCAACACTCTTGCATGATACGAGTACAAAACTCACAGGTAACTACTGTGCCCAAAACACTCACTCAATTACTTGCTCAATATGATGACATATTTGCTGCACCTACAACTTTACCCCCCAACCGTAGCCTCAATCACCAAATACCTTTGAAACCTGATGCTAAACCTTTCAAGATTAGACCCTATAGGTACCCCCACAGGCAAAAAACAGAAATAGAAAGGCAAGTCAAGGAAATGTTGGCCACTGGTATCATCCAAACCAGCCATAGTCCTTTTGCATCCCCAGCCTTAATAGTTAAAAAGAAGGATGGCACTTGGAGGTTATGCATTGACTATAGACAACTTAACAGCCTCACTATCAAAGACAAGTTTCCCATCCCAATCATTGATGACCTCCTAGATGAACTGCAGGGTGCCAAAATTTTTTCAAAAATTGATTTGAGGTCAGGGTACCATCAGATAAGAATGCACCCATCTGATATCCAAAAAACAGCTTTCAGAACCCACTCTGGCCTCTATGAATACTTAGTGATGCCATTTGGCCTCACTAATGCACCAGCAACTTTCCAGGCTCTAATGAACTCGGTATTTGAACCTTTTATTCGAAAATTTGTGCTAGTGTTCTTTGATGACATTCTAGTTTACAGCCCCGATTTTGACTCCCATCTCAAACACCTCTCCCTTGTTCTTGACACCCTCAGAAATCACTCATTATATGCAAAAATGTCTAAGTGTTCATTTGGGCAAGATAGAGTAGAGTACTTGGGGCATATAGTTACTGGTGAGGGAGTCTCTGCTGATCCTGCAAAAGTGGAAGCTATGCTGTCCTGGCCATCTCCTACCACTGTTAAAGGTTTAAGGGGTTTTTTGGGACTGACAGGATACTACAGGAGATTTGTGAAGGGATATGGGAAGATCGCTAAACCTTTAACTAATCTGCTAAAGAAGGATGGTTTCGGGTGGGATGAACAAGCTGAGCAAGCTTTCCAAGAACTCAAACATGCTATGACTCAAGCTCCTGTACTAGCACTTCCTGATTTCCTTGGAACATTTGTATTGGAAACCGATGCTAGCCAAAAGACCATTGGAGCAGTTTTGATGCAGCAAGGTAGGCCTATTGCTTTCATGAGTCAGGCACTTGGACCCAAAAATCAAACACTGTCCATATATGAAAAGGAATTATTGTCATTGATTACTGCAGTAGGGAAATGGAGACACTACTTGCTAGGAACTCACTTCATAATCAAAACTGATCATGAAAGTTTGAAATACTTACTGGAACAAAAAATCACTACACCTCTCCAGCAAAAATGGTTAGCAAAGCTGATGGGACTAGATTATGAGATCCAATATAAAAGGGGTAAGGATAACTTGGTGGCTGATGCTCTATCTAGAAGGATGGAAGGAAGGGATGAAGGGTCAGGTGGTGAGGAGGTGCAGGTCCATGCCATTACCACAGCAAAGCCATTATGGTTAGCAAGGGTCTCTAGCAGTTATAATGGGGATGAGAAGGCCAAGGAACTACTGACTGCACTAGCGGTAGACAAATCTAGTGTGCACGATTACACATACCATCAAGGGATTATCAGGTATATGGGAAGAATGTATATTGGGAGTAACTCAGAATTAAGGGCTCAGCTCATCAATTGCATGCATGATTCTGCAATTGGAGGGCACTCGGGGAACCAAGGAACATACCAGAGAATGAAGAACTATTTCTACTGGCCGGGCATGAAAAAGGATGTGGAATCTTACGTACAGGCTTGTGACATTTGCAAGAGGAGTAAAGGGGAGCATTGCTCCTACCCAGGGTTGTTGCAGCCATTGTCAATTCCTGAGCAAGCATGGCAGGAAATTTCTATGGATTTTATTGAAGGACTACCCAAATCATATGGTCATAATGTCATTTTTGTGGTGGTAGACAGATTTACAAAATATGCTCACTTCACCTCCATGACTTCTCACTACACTGCTAAGAGTGTGGCTCAGGTATTCTTCGACCAAATATTCAGGTTACATGGGCTGCCTAATGGGATTGTATCTGATAGAGACAAAGTGTTCACTAGTATATTCTGGCAAGAGCTTTTTAAGCAAGTAGGGACTGAACTTAGTTTCTCTTCTTCCTATCACCCTCAGTCTGATGGACAAACTGAGAGGGTGAATAGGTGTCTAGAGACTTACTTAAGAGCTATGTGCTTGCAGCAACCAGGCCATTGGAAAAGGTGTTTACCTGCAGCTGAATGGTGGTACAACACTAACTTCCACTCCAGTTTGCAGATGACTCCGTTCCAAGCTTTATATGGCTACAAACCATCCCAATTGAGTTTGCACTCAAGTGACACTCCAGTTGCTGCTGTGGAGGATTGGATAAAGGAAAGGGTAAACTGGAATACATTGCTCAGGGAAAATTTATTGCAGGCTCAGAACCGAATGAAGCAGTTTGCAGACAAACACAGAATAGATAGGTCCTTTGCTGAGGGTGATTGGGTGTATCTCAAGCTGCAGCCGTATAGGCAGACTACGGTAGCACTAAGGAGGAACTTGAAGCTGGCAGCCAAGTATTATGGCCCATATCAGGTGGAAAAGAAGATTGGGTCAGTTGCTTATAGGCTCAAGCTTCCACAGGGTGCTGCTATTCACCCTGTTTTCCATGTTTCACTCTTGAAACCAACGTCTAAGGGAGCTCCTATCAGCAATGAATTGCCACAAATATCGGAGGAAGGGCTCTACACTACTGCCCCCACTGCGGTTCTAGACAGAAGAATGATAGACAGGGCTGGTCAGCAGGTGGAGCAGGTCTTAATTTGTTGGAAGAACATGAATGAGGAGGATGCTACCTGGGAGGACTTGACTGTTATACAAAGCCAATTTCCATCCTTCAATCCTAGAGACTAGGATTGTTTGAAGGGAGGGCAACTGTAATGACCGAGCTGGAGTCTAGTTATTTGACGTTAGGAAGTTAGTTGTAGAAGATATTCCAAATAACAGATTGCATGTGTCGGTTAATTGATCGAGCATGTGAGTCCTTTCATATTGCATGCGTTAGTTATATTGTTAGAATACCAGAAACTAGTATAAAGCAGAGGAGGAAGAGAAGGGATGTAGTTTTTGGATGTAACAATTCTCATTTCCCGTCTATACTATCTTAGTCTTCCCCTGCTCTCTCTTCTCATTTCCCCTGTATCTGCATTTCTCTCAATTTCTGTCTTGAATCCGTCCCTTGTTGGGCAGGTCCAGTACAGTATCCAGGCCATTCCTGATAAGCCGATATTTGGGCTCATATTTCTTAGCATTCTCTACAGAACCATAGATCTATCCAAACCCAGTTGATTTGCCACCTGCACAATGCGTCCTGGACTTGAAAACAAAGATGGCATTTGGGTCCTTCACATCATACATCCTAGCCAATTTCTCCTTCAACTCAGCCTTGGAAAAATTAGGACTTCCAGGATGCGTTCTATCAATGACGAATTGTTTTCTGGAAAGAAGACGATTGGTCATGAACTTCCTAGTACGAATAGTCACTGCCTTGTCCGCCATTTTTTCTTGCCGCCGGCGCCGCCGCTGCTTCCGTTCTTTCTCCTCTGAATGGGCGGTTGGTCAGCAAGTTAATCTTGATGCCGCTGAATGGGCAATTAAAGAGTGGGCGGTTAACCATGATGCCAAGTTAATCATGATTGCATGATTGTATGTTCTCCTCTGAATGGGCGGTTAACTTGATGCCGCTGCGTTCCAACTTGGCATCAAGATAAAACTCAGCAATCTTGATGCCAAGTTAATCTCAGCAAGATTGATGCCAAGTTAATCGCAGAGCAATCTTGCTGAGTTTTCTTGGCCATGATTGCATGTTCACTCTTTAAAAGATAGGGAGTGTAATGATCAAATGGTTGAGCCAATAGCTTCAACGTCTTCAGTGTTAGAGAAATGGACAAATGCTGCTAGTCCTTTCAATGAATCAGTTGTGGCATTTTCATGAGCATTACCTTGTGTGAAAAACAGGACTTCTTTTTTCTCTCTATCTCTCGACTTAATTAGAACATTTCTTTAGATGTTTCACCACCGAGCTGGGTGAGGAATTGGTATGGTGCCATAACAGCACTGCTTTCTTATATCACTGCTCTGTTTTTCCCCTGTTTCTAGCCGTGTTTCCAACAACTTCTTTGGAACTCTCTAGCTTGTACAGCCTGTGTTTCTGTCGGCCATTTCCATGTCTAGTTGCAGACGTAGTTTCTCTTCTCACAATCCAAAGCCTCAAAATCCAAACACCCCTCGCCCCCCACCTCCCAAAAAAAAATACTCCTGCATGTATGCATGCAGCTTGGTAGGTGGACAAGTGCATGAGCATGCATGACATCTTTCAGCAATAATAATGACTTTCCATCGTTCATAATTTGCCCTCATCTGGGGTCCATAGCTAGCAACTCACCGTACCATGCACTTTTTTTCATACATCTCGCATGTAAATGAAGACATCTGTGTCGGTTTGTATTTGGTTTTTCCACAGTTAATAGGAAAGTAGTTTCATTTTGTTTATGATGGGATGTCTGGATTATTCTTTGAGATTTTTTTTTTCATTTCTTTGAGAGATTTATGTTGGCTTTGTTCCCAAAACGTCACAAATATATAACTGGTTTCATTTTTTTCTAAAAGGTAATAAAGGAACCCATTCCAATGCTCTCAAGGCTTAGTACAATTATTGTTAATCAACATTTTATTCAATGACTAGGGACATTGGATGCAAGAAGCATAAAGAGTTCAAGTTCTAGCACTTTATTAATCTTCTTGAGCGGTCCTTCATGGTAAGTGCATTACAGTCCTCAAGTTTGATTTCTATTTGAAGTGAAACTGCCATTATTTGGATCTAACTTGTGATATTGTGAATGCATATGCTTTTGTTGGGTTATGGACATATTATGCTTTATTTAACTAGTTCTTTATAATTATCATCTTTTTGAATTTCAGTGCTATTTTTCCAACACAATTCCTCTGGGAAGGCTTGTCATCTAAACTTGCACCTTGGTATAGAATGTAGTTCATATATGCTAGGAGGAAAAATGGATAAGGGTTGGATGTTCCTGGCTGATAGATGGTGTGATGAATATAGGAATGGGCTAGAGAAATTTTTAACAATGGCAAAACAGCACAAAGGTGATAAACCAAAGATTAGATGTCCATGCAGAAAATGCAGAAATGTGAAGTACTACTCTGTTCATGTTGTTAAGAGTCATCTGCTATATAAGGGGATGGATAGTACTTATACATATTGGAAATTTCATGGGGAAACTCTGCCTAATGAAAATTCAAATGCTCATTCATGTTGTGATAATGAGCATGAAATTAATGCTAACAATGCAGAAGTAAATGATGACGAAATGCAAGAAATTTTAGAAGACATCTATTGGGGGACCTTTAATGAAGAAGAATTAAATGGTGGGAGCAATAAGGAGGTTTCTTTTAGAAAAGAAGATGAGTTAGAAAAATTTGATAGATTATTTAAAGATGCTAAGCGGGCCTTATATCCTGGCTGCAAAAAGTATTCAATATTACTTTTTGTTGTAAAATTGCTACACTTGAAGGTACTCAATCGATGGAGTAATAAATCTTTTACCATGCTTCTTCAACTATTGAAGGATTCCTACCCTGATGATAACTTACTTCCGTCCTCTTACTACGATTCCAGAAAGTTATTGGGGGGCATTGGGTTGCGGTGTGACCTGATTCATGCATGCAAGAATGACTGTATTCTCTTTCGGAAGGAATATGAAGGATTGGATCATTGTCCAAAATGCTTGCAATCTAGATGGAAAATAAATGATGGCAAAGGTAAAAAAGTTCCTCAGAAGATTCTTCGCTACTTTCCTTTGAAGCCAAGACTGCAGAGACTATTTATGTCAAGAAAAATAGCATCTTATATGAGATGGCACAAGGAAAAACGAGTTGAAGAAATAGGGGTCTTAAGTCATCCAGCAGATGGTGAATCATGGAAAGAGTTTGATAAGAAATTTCCATGGTTTGCTGAAGATGCTCGAAATGTGCGTCTTGCATTGTCAAGTGATGGTTTCAACCCTTTCAATAATATGTGTAACTCCTATAGTATGTGGCCAGTGGTGCTCATAAACTATAACATGCCACCTTGGGTATCAAAAAGGGAGCCTTATTTCTTCTTGTCACTACTTATTCCAGGTCGTCGGTCACCGGGAAAGGATATTGACGTGTTTTTGCAACCTTTGATTGATGAACTGTTAGAATTGTTCAAAGGTGTTAGGACATATGATTCTGTGGCTGAACAATGCTTTCTTTTGCATGCTGCACTTATGTGGACTATAAATGACTTTCCGGCTTATGGGGACTTATCTGGTTGGGTGACCAAGGGAAAAATGGCATGCCCTTGCTGCAATGATAAAACGGACTATCAGTCATTGAGAAACAAGATTGGTTACTTGGGCCACCGTCGCTTTTTGCCTGATAATCATGTGTGGCGAAATGATGGCAAAAAATTTAATGGCAAGGTAGAGAGAAGGTTGAAACCACGGGAATTGTCAGGTGAAGAAATTCTTAAACAATTAAAAGTTGTTGAGGGTGTAACACTTGGAAAAAATCCAAATACTAAGAAAGGAAGCGCAGTCTTGAAGAAAGAAACTGGACTAAGAAGAGCATATTTTACCAATTACCGTATTGGAAAGATATTCCACTAAAACACAACATTGATGTTATGCACACTGCTAAGAATTGGTGTGATAATATTATGGGAACTTTGCTTAACTTAGAAAACAAGTCAAAGGATACAGATAAAGCTCGGCGGGATTTGGAGGACATGGACATTCGGCATGAGCTACACTTACATCGAAGAAATGGCAAGCTTGAAAAGCCACAAGCATGCTATAATCTGTTACCAAAAGAGCGACAAGGTTTTTGTGAATTTTTGAGTTCAGTGAAGTATCCCAATGGCTATGCAGCTAATATATCAAGATGTGTCAACATAAAAGATGGTAAGGTATCAGGATTAAAGAGCCATGATTGTCACATTCTTTTGCAACGAATGCTTCCTGTCGGATTGCGCGGATTCTTGTCAACAGATGTGTATACTTTAATATGTGAAGTAGCCAAGTTCTTTCAAGATCTGTGTTCAAAAAAGCTTAGATTGGAAGAGACTGAGAAATTAGAAAAGAACATAGTAATGATATTGTGCAAGTTGGAAATGATCTTTCCACCAGCTTTTTTCGATATTATGATCCATTTAGCTGTTCACTTACCCCGTGAAGCCAAACTTGGAGGGCCTGTCCAACATAGGTGGATGTACCCTTTTGAAAGGTAAGTATGATTCTTCTTAATATCACTTCCTAAAAATATATTAGCTAAGTTAGATCACTAACTGCTATATATGCTTATAACAGTCTTTTTACACATTTAGGTACCTCGGAAGTCTCAAAGGAACCGTGAAAAATAAAGCCTATCCAGAAGGTTCAATTGCAGAAACATATATTGTCAATGAAAGTTTAACTTTCTGCTCCTTATATCTTGATGGGATTGAAACAAAATTCAATCGACCGGATAGGTATTATGATGGAGAAAATCCTGCTCATGACAGGTTATCCATATTTTCCCATAAAATTCGTCCAATTGGATCGCCTCTAGGTGCCACTTTGACAAGGGATCAATATAATTTGGTTCATTGGTATGTTCTTGACAATTGTGATGAATTGCGACCATTTTTGCTGTAAGTAAATCTTTTTCACCAATAATTTAGTTGAACAATTTGAAAAATGCAGTTTCTAATTATGCACTATGAACAGTGAGCATGAGGAAGAGCTAAAAAGAAGAAATCCGTCAAACCTCTTTGAGAGACAGAAAGTTGAATTTCCATTATGGTTTAGAAAAAAAGTAAGATATGCTCTTCTTATTAATAAGGAGAAGATTGCTTTAAGAGTAAAATTTTGATGTTCACTAAGTGCTATTTATGCAGATGAAGAACTTGCATGATCAAGGAGACTGTCAAGTGAACAAAGATCTATATTCACTTGCAATGGGGCCAGATATTCGTACCACCATGTATCCAGGTTGTATAGTCAATGGAGTTAAGTTCCTAACTAAGGAGCGTGATAGTCGTCGAAAGACGCAAAATAGTGGTATACGTACTGAGGGAGAGCACAATAATAAGTCATGCAGCTAAGATATAGGGGAAATTGCCAAGTTCTTTTATTTGGGTGTGAATGGTTTGATTCTAGGACAGCTCGCTGTGATAAGTATTTCACAAGTGTTAACTTTGGGAAAAAATGGTATGCAAATGAACCTTATGTTCTTGCTACTCAGGCCACCCAAGTTTTCTATGTTAAGGACACAAAATTGGGTGGAGATTGGCATGTAGCTCTTGTTGCAGATCACAAACATATATGGGATCCATCACTTTTCCAACCTACTGAAGAAAATGATCCTGAAGATGCATTTGGTAATCATGAAGCATACCAACAGAATGAGTGTTCAGAAATCATGTTTGAAGTTCAAGACTATGAAGCATTTTCATTGGACAGAGCTGATGTTGACCCAGAAACCATTGATTTAGAGGATACTGCACCGGGTGACAAAGCTGAGAATGAGTTGGATGATTTCATTAATGATGATATGATTGATGAAGAGTCAGGAAGCACAAGAGAAAGTGAAGAAGAACCTTATTTGAGCTTTAGTTCTGACAGTGACATAGAGTGACTTATGACATTTTTTTTGTAAAAATGAAGTGTATCTGTACCACTCTTGTTTCATGAAAAAGATCTATTTTGTGTATTACAATCATTATCAGTTGCTTTTTGTGTCCTTTCATGATAGCTAAAAGTTATTTTGTTTCGCATGTTGGGTGCATCCTTTATACTTGTAATTTTATTTGAGATACTAATAGTGGTCTAATATAGATGCCAGGCAATGCGTTACGGGCAAGGCAATTTGAAAAAGTTGCAGCAAGCAAACAATCTAATCCGGCATCTAAAGCACCAAAGGTTTACACTGGGGATCAGCTGATGCAAAAGTCTCTCACAGTGAGAACTAAAACCTTTCCTACAATTGCTTAGATTTTACTCACATTAGTGTAATAAATTTAATATGTTGTTTTTGTGTCTATAAAGCAGGTAGCTCCGAGAGAAACAAACTCTAACCACATCCCTCATGGAACATCAAACATGGAACCAGTCATGAATCTTTTCATAGACATGGAATCTGCTATAGTAAGTTTTTCATTTAACGCATATATCTTAAGCAATTAAGATTGTTATTCTATTACTGAAGATCATAGCTAATGACATTATATCTCATCCTAGGAGGGGGCTAGAGTTTTGCAATCTCAGCAAGTAACAAACAAGCCTCCAATTCAATCCTTCAGGACTTTCCAAACAATATCTTCTCCATCTGCTAATCTTTTTGCCTCTCAAAATTGCCCAGTTGGTGTAATGTTGCATTTATATTCATAATGTCAATATGATTATTTTGGCTAAGTTACATTTTTTTTTCAAAGACCTCTGTTCATAGCTGACATGATCATTTGTTTGTTTGACAAAAGGAGCTATCAGCTAATGAAATTGAAGCACAAAATGAGTCTGCTAACCACAATGCAGCTTCACGAGTGGCAAACCAAATTACTCAATCAACAAATAATGAACATGATACAGATCAGGTCCATAATGCATCCAATTCAACAGGAACAAATGCAGGTGATTTTAACCTTGTCGATATTATAAATATGTCCTAGTTTTGTAGATATTAGTAGTTAGTATTATCCTAAATTGCTGCAAAATTTTAGTTTCTAGATACTCACCTTGTTCTTAGCTTTATTAGCCCCTAGAAAGCGTGGACCCAATCGAAATATTAGGCTTGAGAAAGCAGTAAGGGCAAGAAGGGAGCAAGATCTAGAAGGTGAAAAATACAGACCACCAATATTAATACCTGAAGATGAGAATGCACCTGTTGGTGAATGGAGTGCATGCTTTGCAAGAGAGCTCGGTCTTATCCTTAGGCAAGATGCACCAGTACGAGTACAGAATTGGACAGCCATGGACAAGTCAGCCAAGGAGGATCTTTATGAACGTGCAGTGGTATGATATATTTAATTCATTTCGTATCATTTACAAGTTTCTAAACTTATTTTTGTAAATTTTACAGGACACATTTAATTTGGACTGGACAAAGGTGCATGTTCAAGATGCTGTTAAGAATCAATTTGGACGACTGTATGGAAATTTTAGGAACAAATGTCATCAACACTACAAAAAGTATGGGGGAGGTGCAAGTGGAAGGGCCAATCCTCCTGTCCACTTTCTTGAGAGAAGGGATGATTGGGTTTGGATCTGTGACAATATCTTTGACAATGAGGATTGGAAGGTAAGTAAATATCTATGCATTAATTTGAGTTAAAATAATTCATGCATAGAGAATTAAGTTCTTGACAAGATCATACCTTGTATATTAGACTCGTTCAAGAACTAATGCACTTAATCGTGCAAATCTGGAGTATGTGCACAAGCTGGGATCTAAGTCTTTTCCACAAAAACGTCATGAAATGGTAAACTCACATCCTATATTACCAATTTGCTGTGACTATGGGGTCAGAAGTTCTTAAATCCAGTCAAAATGAAAATTTTCAAACATATTTGTGCATTCATATGTTGCCTATTTTGTCAGACCAATCCAGAGACAAATGAGAAACCCGGTATTATTGATTTGTTTGATATCGCATACAGAAATAGAAAAGGATGGTCCTCTCGTCTTGCTGAAGAAAGGCATGTAAGTCATGCATATCAAGCAAATTTGTCTTCAAAAAATATTTTAAGTTGAGAGCTTATACTATGGTACAATCTTGCAGCAAGAAATGATTAATTTGAAAAATCAACCTATTTCTGAAAATGAGCCACCAATGTCTGAGGTTGAGATAGTTGAACAAGTTTGCCAAAAAAAAGTCCGGTTATATCTGTGGGAAACCTCGTGGAGTCAGACCTCCATCTCGAAGGCAATATATTAGGGGAACCAATGGCAGCAATGATAGACAAATGGAGAGCATCGTTGCTGAGCAAAAGTCACAACTGGAGGCTGCACATTCTAAAATTGAGGAACAGCAAGCTCAACTTCGGCACCTACAAGAGTCAATAGATTGGTTGATGGCAGAAGTGAAAAACAGGACTGTAGCTAATGCCAATAGCTAATTTTATAAATTAGCAAGGTAAGATATTCTAAATTTTGAATCCTGGTTAGTAGCTAAAATATCTAGTTGTATCATCATTCTTTCAAACAATTTAGTTTGTGATGCCACCAATTTGTGCTTCTGTGTGATGATGGTAGTACGAATCTCAATTAATATGAATGCATAGAGTCAGTCCTCTGTTATTTCTAGTAATACACTATGACAAAATGATGAATGGATGTGATGCAAGTTATATGTGATTTTGGAAAGCAATATATGGGTAGCCAAATACATGGGAAGTTTTAGTGCTGAGAAATGCAGTTGAGGCACAATGGTTTTAGTAAAAAATTTCATTATGTTTAGAAAATCTCTTACATTAAATTTTTTGTTTTGCAGGTTTATTTTGGAGATTTTGGATGGAAATAGGCTGTGCAATCTAGAAGGAGCCACTTGAGCTTGAATTGTTTTTGTAGTTTGGCTTGTTTTGGATGTGGTAGATGATAAAATATTTTTGAAGCTAGGCTTATTTTTGTTTAAAAGGTGTAATGGTATGTGTTTTCCTTGCTCTATGTGGCAATTTGTCTTCTTGACAAAAGTCCTGTAATTCAATTCTAAAAATGCCTGCAGTTAATTTTTTGCTTGAATTTAGCTTGTTAATATGTGATTTTTCTGGTGCAGGTTAACATTGCAAATTTGGAAATAGGTTGCAATGTGGAAGGCACCGTGAAAGTGTTTAAAATGTTTAGGTGGCTTGTTTGGGATGTAATAGGTGACAAGACCTTTTGGAAGCTCAAGTTTGTTTTAAACGGTGGTTATTTTGGAAAGGCACAATTGCTGTTCATGTATTTTTGAAGTAATGACTTCAACTTTTGGTCATGCATAGGTGCTGAATTATGATTAAATGTCACACGTCCCTTTTTCCATCCTAGTTTATGCTTATTGCTTTTTTGGTTTCAATTTTGCATTTTATTATTGTTTATTAATCCGTGTAATGAAAGTGGGAAAGTCTAACAATGTGTAATACAATTGCCCAAGACTTTTGGAACTTGGAGAATCATATAGACCAAATACTTTAAATCAAGCGTATTTATGGGTTTTGAATTTTATATCTACCAGCCAAACAATGCAGGCATGGAAAAAGTGTTACACATGGCTCATTAGCTTTCACAACTCTGTCAAAGAACTTCAAATTTCATGAAACGGTTGTTATGTACTTCCTTTGTCCATAGTTGTTATCATATTTTTACTTTATTGATGTTCCAAAATAAGAGTCGCTATTTCAAATTAAATACATGCTTTTTAATTTTGCCATTTGAAATTTTTTTTTTTTTAATTTCGATACACTTCTATTAAAACAATATTTTGAATTCAAAGGATAGATATGTAATTCATCAATGCCACCTCATCTAAACATAATGATTATCATATCTCCATATAAATTTGGATTCCCAGAAAATGACTCTAATATTAAGATTGAGGGAGTACTTTAGAATCTTGTCACTTAACATGGAAACAAGGGGAAATGATATCACAAATAATATTGAAAAATTAATTAATCTATATATGCATTGGTATTTGACAAAATTGGAATATAGTTCAAAGTCACATTTATTATTTTGGTCTCAAAACAATAAAAATGGAGTTGTTTACAATGATTAATACTCAATGAAACTTCTAAAGTACTTTATTTCAATCAATTTTGTAATTAAGGAGAGATTAAGCCTATTACACAAGACTTTTTTCTTAATAAATAAATTACATACTTTCGTAACAATTCAATAATCAATTGATAGGCATTGTGAATCGCTTGTTACACGATTCTTTGTATAAACTATGATTAAAATTTCATCATAAAAATATGAGTTTAGAAGAATAACACATATAATTTAAAGTCACATTTGATATGTTGGTATTAGAATAATAAAAATGGAGCGGTTTACAATTATTAATACTCAATGAAACTTCCAAAGTACATTATTTCAATCAATTTTGTATTTGACTAGAGATTAAACCCATTACACTAGACTTTTTTCTTAATAAATGAATTACATATTTTTGTAAGAATTCAAGAATAAATGGATAGGCATTGTGAAGCACTTGTTACACGAAATTCTTTTTATAAACTACGATTAAAATTTCATCATAGAAATATGAGTTTAGCAAAATAACACATATAGTTTAAAGTCACATTTGTTATGTTTGTATTAGAATAATAAAAATGAAGCGGTTTACAATTATTAATACTCAATGAAACTTCCAAAGTACATTATTTCGATCAATTTTGTAATTGATGAGAGATTAAACCTATTACACAAGACTTTTTTCTTAATTAATGCATTACATACTTTTGTAACAATTCAAGAATAAATGGATAGGCATTGTGAAGCACTTGTTACACGAAATTCTTTTATAAACTACAATTAAAATTTCATCATAGAAATATGAGTTTAGCAAAATAACACATATAGTTCAAAGTCACATTTGTTATGTTGGCATTAGAATAATAAAAATGGAGTGGTTTACAATTATTAATACTCAATGAAACTTCTAAAGTACATTATCTCAATCAATTTTTTAATTGAGGAGAGGTTAAGCCTATTACACAAGACTTTTTTTTCTTACTAAAAGAATTACATACTTTTATAACAATTCAAAAAAATGGATAGGCAACATAAAGCGCTTGTTACACGAAATTCTTTTTTATAAATTATAATCAAGAGTTCATCATAGAAATATGAGTTTAGCAAAATAACACATAGTTCAAAGTCACAATACAAATAGATTTAAAAGTTGAGGAACTGGAATTACAAGTAATTTACTATAATTTCATAGATTATAGTACATCCATATCAATTTTATTCTTTATCCTCGTATTTAAAACTTTAGAACAATTAAATTAAATCATCTAATTATTAACATTTATAAGTGTTTTATACAGTTACTTGAAAAAAAATACTCATATATGAAATACATAAGAATTTTTGAATTATGCATATGGACATGTATTAGCACAAATATAATATAAATATTTATTGACTAGCACACTTGAAGGCATTCCTCTCATGCTATTTTATGCGTAGTTAAGTTCTTTGAAGTTTAGCAAAAATATAAGAGTGAGGAATAATTTCAAGAAATGGCAATTACATATCATACAACAAACCTCTATTTGAAAATTAAATGCAAATTTATCAAACTTAGTTAATTTGATTTGCTATATATTGAGAATATTTTCATTAGTTTCATTTTCTCATACATGATCTCTTTCAATTTTTATATACTTCTAACACTCAATATTCATTCTATATAATATACTCCAATTCTCCAATTCTTAGAAACTTTTAACTACAACTTAAAACATCATGAATGTTTCAGAATTTAGGACACGCGCGCTTTATTCCCTCCAAGAATTTTATTTTTCCCGCAACGTCCTTCCGGCAAAATTTGAAGGCTCATTACAGCTGAGGGATAATACTATTATATATATACATAGAAAGGCCGGCCCTCACTTATCTCTCTCAATTGATCGAGCACTCATATGTTCTTCTCTCAAAGGCCAAGATTGGTGGTTTTTAGTCCAAAAATAGAAGAACAGATGCGGGAATTGCTAAACGTGAAGGAGACCTCTGAGGAATTGCTAAAAAACGAAGGCCCACCTCCTGTCTATCTCCTAAGAATTGCAAAACTTGAAGGGGCTTAGGTTTTATTGCTGTAAGAAAACCTCAGAGCAACTTCAATGCTTCATCCACTTGCTTCAAATACTGTTAGATCAATATTTTGGTGCCATTTTGTGAGTCTTCATATCCTTCTTGTGCATTCTTATTACCATTATTTGTGTCAGATTTCTAAGATTACATTATTTTCCTCACAATTTTAGGAAAATTGAGTTCCAACCATTCTCTAGACTCTGTGAAGGTAAATTATGTGGGTTTGTGCTTAACATCAAAGATTGTATTTTTCGATTGGTTGAGGTTTAAGCTAACAACCTATGATTTTCATCTTGTTTCCTGGTTGGTTGAGGTTAACTTCTCTGCTTTTCCTAGTTGGTTCAAGCCCCTGTTTTCATATGCAATCAGTAAATTTCTCCATCTAATCTAATCTTCCCTTTTGTGCAGCTTAGCTACTCTGAATCTGTTGAGGGCGTTTGCAACTGGAGGATATGCTGCTATGCAGAGGATTACTCGGTGGAACCTAGATTTCACAGAGCACAGCGAACAAGGTGATAGATACCGTGAACTAGCTCACCATGTAGACGAGGCTCTTGGATTTATGGCTGCTGCTGGACTTACAATTGACCATCCAATCATGACGACCACCGAGTTCTGGACATCGCATGAGTGCTTGCTACCAATATCCCTGCTGCAGAAATGGCTGCAGTAGTTGTATCTGGGGGAATTAGTAATGCATTAGGCGGGAAGCCAAATAAAACTGTTGATAAGGCGATGCTATTAAGAGGGGAGAAGTGTCCAAGGATTGTTTTCCGGCTTATGATTCTCTATCTTTGTAAATCCTCACTTGAAAGGGCATCTCGATGTGTCCAGCAGTTTATTCCTCTTCTTCCTAGTCTTCTGACAGCTGATGATGAGCAAAGCAAGAACAGAGTGCAACTTTTCATATGGTACAGTTTGATGCCTCATAGATTTAGATTGGTCAACAAACAATGCTCTCTATCACTTGAACTTGCATTTATCATCGCTGAGCGACTGAGAAAGAGGCGGCTTGGATCCCAAAAGTCAGTAGCATTTTAGGTATTCTAGAATGATTTTGAGGGCGTCAATTATGTCTGTACCATTCTGCAGCATATGTTTCTCTGTATCAATTTATTCAACATGTTTGTTTCTCTATTTATAAGTATACCATGTATTACTCTGTCAATATGGTAGAAACTGATGGTTTGAGATTTTGATGAGACAACAAATAAAGCAAAAGCTTTTCTCCCCTAAATAAAAAAAAAGCTATTTGCAACTAAATTTTCTAACAAAACCACTCCATAATTGGCTCAAGGAATTAAGATTAGCATATTAAAATGGGATTAAGAAATGTTCACAATAGCATTGGAGGGGAACATTTTCCCACCGAATAGTTAGGCAAGAATCAACTATCGCTTTAGAGAGGAAACTTTCCTGGCCAAAAATGTTTTACTAGTATGGGGGATTGCAGATTTGTCAAAAAGCTCCTTGCCAATTCTATATTATTGGTGAGGACACACTATTTTCCTCACAAAACACCTTGACTATTTGCAAGGAACCATTGGTTTTTGTGGGGAGTTTTTGATTGTAGTGGAGAGAAAAGTTTTTCTTGCCATAGCATTCCGGCAATTAGCGAGGAGGTCTGCCCTTGCTATTGATTTGTTCCATTAGTGAGAAAGGCAGCAGCATTCTCGCTAATAACTTTTAGCGACGAGCATCTAGCGACAAACTTGGTGAGGAAGCATTTTCCTCGCTGAAATTCATTGGTGAGGAAGTCAAAACTTTTGGCGAGAACTTTTGTTCCTTGCCAAATCCCTTTTTTGTTGTAGTGCGTCAACGTTATCCCCTCCCTAATGGTCAATTTGTATCTCTTAAGACATAGAAGAGAATAGAGTAAATGCTCTTGGCATATGTGTCTATTTCTTTAGTTGCCTTAAAAGGGTTTGCAATTTATGATATTATGGAATTTGTACTAATCAAGGTAATATTCTCTTTAACGCCCAACCACTTCCTGGGCCGATGCCATGACCCATTTGACAGCAAGTGGCAAACAATTTCCTATAAATAGAGGTCTATCTACACAAGCTTTCTCATCCTCCTAAAATAAATTTTGATTACATAAAATACTTTGAGCAAAAATGAGTTCCATGAAAATTCTTTTCTTTTGCATTTCCTTGGCTTTAGTTCTAATGATTATCTCGCAGGTGGCTGCTAGGGAATTGGTCGAGACTTCCAATTCAGTTGACAATTGTAAGAATTTATTCTCCAATTCAAATTCCAACTTGTCTTACCTGTCTAGGTTTTTGTGTAGCATATGTTAATTTACATCTTTGGACCACAGAATTTAACATTTCAATTTATGTATATAATTTCGGTTGTACATGTGAAGGGCCGGAGTACTAAGAAACATAGCTGACCTTTAGACACACCCTCTATAAGTCCTTCCTGAAGCGGACTTGGGGTGTAATACTGGTTAATATATGCGTTCTTTTTTTCTCAACTCGTTTAATTTTCCTTCTAGTTACACTGGTTGTGTAATTCTTATTTTCGATAGGTATGGATATACAACACGTAAATTTTAGCCAAGTTTAAAACTTTAATCCAAGCGTATGAAAATTTTTAATAATGATAGTGTATAAAAAATTACTTACAAGAACTATGTTCATTATGATAAAATTCTCTATCAGTTTGTAATGATTAACCATGTTAAGGGAATTTGTGAAAAAAAAAAGACACTAATTTTGACTGTACATCGGAAGACAGAATTTCAAATGATAATGATACTTAATTGATATGGTATGCGTTAACCAAAAGCTTGCACACAAATCTGTTGAAAATTTACTATTCGAAAATTTACTATTAATTAACGCGCATGCCCTATTTACGCTTATTGCAGCCAAGACAGATGAAGCAAATGGCCTAAAAGAAGCCAAGTACCCAGGTGGTTATGGTGGGTACCCCGGAGGAGGATATGGTGGTTATCCCGGAGGGGGGTATGGAGGGTATCCTGGAGGAGGTTATGGGGGATACCCAGGTGGTGGATATGGGGGCTATCCAGGAGGAAGGTATGGTGGATATCCTGGGGGTAGATATGGAGGGTATCCTGGGGGTGGCCGTGGTGGTTATGGTGGAAATTGCCACTTTGGTTGTTGCGGCCGAAACTATTATGGTGGGGGTTGCAGGTGCTGCTACTATCCTGGTCAGGCTGTGGATGCTGAGCCTCAGAACTAATAAAGCCAGCTTCTAGCAAACTCATGAATGCTTAAGGAAGCTCATTGGTGATATATAGCAGTACTTATTAGTGTGAAGTGTAGATAAGAGCTTGACGAGTGATGTAATATGTGTGCAATATATTTGCTTTGCTAGTTCATTATAGCAAATTATATGGATGTGTAATCATGTGTGACCTCTGTGAGCGCTTTTTATGTAATGACAATACATTCTCATGCAATTTGAAGTTGGTTCTGTGATTTTCAACTGTAGAAGAATGAGTAATAGTAGTATTCCATTTGAAGTTGGTTTATCTAAATGAGTTACCTATTATCAAATTGCTCTTTATTGCTGTTTTGGGTATGCTGAATCTATCAATCTAATACAAGTGTTTGCGATAAAGGATTTGACGAACTGAATCTTCTTAATTTCCTGTTCGGTTATATGTTTGCCTTACTCATGCACCTGTCTGTCAGATATAGTTTATAAGCTGAAAGAAATGATAAAACCAAATATTTAATCTAGCCATGGAAGAAAGATGTGAAAGTTAATGATGGAACAGAATTTGTTTACTTAGTTTCAAGATCTAACTCTCTCAAATATGTCGACCATCTAATTGACTAGTTGACTATAAGAGATTGAAAATTGAGCTATTGTGGAATGGGAATATCTGTTATGAACTTGGTGCATAAGTGCCCCCAAAACACAAACATGGGGGCATCACTTGTGGGAAACCATCCTAATCACCATTCTACAGGGCTCCAATTTGTATAAATCAATAAAACTTAAAGTTCAAGAGCTCAAAACAGTTAAGAGATACTTTCCACTCCACTACAAGATCTGAAGTATATTTTGTTAGAGGATTATCCTGCAAGAAGCCAAAACTTGGCGCATAGTTTCACTATCCCAAAAGAAAATTGAAAGTCCACATTGTCCGCATGGAATACAAGTGGTATCTCTGCATTCTATGAAGTATTGATCTCTAATATACTCTATATAAGAATTTTTTCTTGGGAAGTATTCGTGCATTGCAAAGTTTGACATGTTCTTCATTTGTTATATACTATCTTTAGTGTAAAGATGCTTATGCAACTTGGAATGAACATAATCAAGTCACTCCAAAGTCCAAGTTGATCGACAATAATGCTTGAAATATTCATGATTGTAGGACATGAATTATTCTCTCCATAATGCTCAAATTGTTTCTCTAAAGAGATACAAGACAAACCAGATTAAGTGCTTTTGGTATATCTCTATTCCTTTAATTTTTACAAAGGGACTGCAATTTATGATAGTAAGGCCTTTGTATTAATTACAGCAATCATCTCCTCAACAGCCAACTATATCATGGGCAATGGCAAGACTAGGGCTGTAAACAAGTCGAGTTTTGGCCTAATCAAATCGAGTCTTAACTTAGTTTTATCAAGCTCGAAATCGAACTTAAACTCGACAAGCTGCCAATTTAAAACTCGAGCTCGAGGTCGAGTTCGAAAAAAAAGTAATTATTTTGTTTTTTAAAAAATAAATAACATAATAATTTTTTAATAAATAATAAAATATTACAGCTATGTATATGTTATTTTACTATTAAAATAATATATATATATATATATATATATATATATATATATATATATATATATATATATGTGTATTCGAGCTCGCAAGTCATCTTACGAGTTAACGAGTTAAATATTTTTTTATTCGAGTTCAAATTCGAGTTTGACTCGAGCTCAATATTGATCATGCTCGACTCAAGTTTTGATTCGACCCGCTCACGAGCAGTTCAATTCGTTTACAGTTCTAGCCAGGACCCTCTATAAAATAGAGATCAATCTACTGCAGCTTTTTCATCATTCACAAAATCAGTTAAAATACTTAAAATGCCTCGAGCAAAATCGGTTCCAAGACACTTCTTTTCTTTTGCATTTCCATGGCTACAGTTCTAATGATTAACTCAGAGGTGGCAGCTAGGGAATTGGCCAAGACTTCCACGTCTGTTGACAATTGCAAGACATTTATCCTCTACTAATTTCTGCTTTTCTTACAGGACCACAAATTATATCATATTTAAAATTATGTACTTATTTCAGTTATAGATGTAAAGCATTGGACTATTACGACACAAATCTGACGTCTTCAAACTATAATAGACGTCAACTAAGGTGTACAAGAAAGCGTTCAAGGCTTCCCTGACGTGGGACTCGGGGCATAGTGGCTAGTCATCTAGGTTGGCAACGATAAGCCTACCCTGCTAGTTGGTTGTATTTAACCATTTTAAAGACAACATTAGATTTTCTTGGCACGTAGTTTAGAAGGAACAAAACTTCCAATTGAGTATAAAATTATTGTTTTGGTATTCGTTAAACTAAAATCATGTATAAAAATTAGTCCAAATATGAAATTTTCAAATGTATGACTCCAAATGAATTTATGTGAAAACGTCATTCCTAGATTACACTAATAACGTATTTATTATCCTCAATGCAGCAATGACAGTTGAGGCGGATGGCTAAAAGAAGCAAAGTACCCTGGAGGTGGCTACAGAGGATACCCCAGAGGAGGCGACGGAGGTGGTATCCTGGAGGAGGTTATGGAGGTTACCTGGTGGTGGACATGGGGTCTACCGAGGAGGAGGTTTTGCGGGATATCCTGGGGCTGGATTTCGTTGTTGCGGCCCAAGCTATTATGGTAGGGGTTGCAGGTGCTGTTCTTATCCAGGTCAGGCTGTGGTTGCTGAGCCTGAGAACTAACAGAGATAAGGGATGTAGTATGGATTGTATGTATTCGGTAGTTCGAGATGACAGGGTATAATTTGTTAGTAAATTTATTATTGATTTCCCCTTCTATCCCTGACAAATATTGTGTTAATTGCTGATATTTACTCATATTTGGTATTTGGAATCAATTTCAGGAGTGAAGCAGAAAATTACCAAAAAGGAGGGACTTGTATGGAAAAATGCAGACTTTTAAGGGCTTCAACCTTTGGGTCCTTGAATTGGTGGGGACCACAAGCTAGTGCAAGGCATTTAGTCATTTGGGCTTTTCAAAGAAAACAACGTAGAGAGATTTGGAACAACAAGTACTTTGGACGCTTTGTCCACATGTGCGGGGACCACGGATAAGAAGCATGAGTCATTTGGACTCTAGGAAAAGAAAAACGTACAAGACTTTGAATTTGGTGTGGGGACCACTAGAGATAGCATTAGACTTCCTTTTCGCTTTAAAAAGGGGGAAACGTACGAGAGGTTGGGGGGAATCAATAGTTTTAGTTTAGGTTTTTAGCATAGTTTTAGTTTGCTTTTCTTAGCTTTTTCGCATGGTTGTTCTCCATTAATGGAGGACTAACCTCTCAATTCTAGTCAAGGGGACAACTGAAGACTTGGTTCAACAATTACTGTGAGATCGAATTTATTTTAATTGTTTCCTCCATTTATTGGTATTCATATGTTTCCTGCTTTTAACTGTTATAGCTCTTGTGTGTGATTGATTAGTGCGCAATAATTAATTATTCATATAGGCTATTTTGCTAAATAGAGGTAATTGAATCCGTAATTGTTCGTTATCTCTATCTTAGTAGCAACTGGCGTAATTGGATTTATGTCAGGGGAGCATACGATCTAGTTTAAACAAACCCTCGTAGCGTGTTTGTTAGTTAGGATTGGGCCTTTCTAATTATTAAGGCAATCTAGAAATTAAATCCTACGGTCGTACCTAGGGTTGTTTTTGGGTTAGAGAAATAGTTAACGGTCGTACCTTAACTATCGAGAAATTAAGGAAAGGTTGGTTGTTTATCGCGTGCATGACAACTATAACTAATCTATTAATAAATGTGGAATTATCTGTGAATCAATGATCAGTGCCTGAACCATTTCTGAAGTGTACCATTGGCTAGAGTTTTCCCTTAATTATTTCTCTTAATCAATTATTTTCTGCAGTTAATTTATTTAGTTAGCATTTAATCCAAAACCCCCCATACTTTGAACTCTAGAAGAAACGAATTATCCACAGTCCCTGTGGATTCGACCCTACTCACCGCTATATACAAAATCTGTATTTTTTTCGAGTAGGTATTTATTATTGCACAGGTTCGGCACCTGTCAATTTTTGGCGCCGTTGCCGGGGATTGGTGCCAGATTAATTTGTTTCTTTTTGAGTTTATTTTGTTTTCATTTTTTTTTAAATTTATTTTTCTCTTATTTTTTTATTTATTTATTTTTTTTTATGGCTGCTAACATTCCATATTTTGATGATAGACTGGACTTTGTTCCTGAATGGGGTTATGAGACTCATGTTTTTTCTAATGATCAATGGGTTGTTGCAAATTGTGGAACTTATTTTGACTCAGGTTATTCAACTGACACATGCCCCGTATTTCAAGATAATCTAAGTTCTCCACTTGATACTTTTGGAAATTTTCCACCCCAATATCAAACGCAGTATGACCCTTATTCAAACGGGTATGATCAAGAATGGTGGGATAATTTCAATTTTGATTAAGCAATCGGGCCAATGGATTTTCAACAGCAAGAGTCTCAACAACCATCGTCCATGTCAGGTATGTCTCTTCAGGAATTGAGTGAATTATTTATTAATACATACCAATTCCAACAGGAGACACAAATGAGGAATGAGATGATGAAGGATGCAATGAGTTATCTGGCAGATCAACTATGTCTATTGACATCCAGAATAAATCGATTGGCTCCTCAAATGGAAGAATTGCCCGCACAAACCAATATCAATCTTGAGGAAGATGAGAGTGCAATTGTCCGGCCAAATGACATGGAACTGCAAGATTTCAAGAAAACGGATTTAAAGATGCAGTTGAAAAGGAAGCTGAAGTGCAAGAATTGAGACCCCAACATCAAATGGTTCAAGTGAATGAATCCAGTGAACAATCTCCAAATGTGGTGACATCTCCTCCATTCCTTGATCAATATTTTCCTGACTCTTATTCTTTAATTCCTGTTAGTGAGATTGATTTTATTATACCAGGCGATTTTGAATTTCATGCCAGG